CTCATAGTTACATCACAGATCGCATGCATCAGAGTTCTTAGATCGCATAGTCAGATCGCAGATCGCACGATCAGATTGCGTGGCCAAATCGCAGATCACATGCTCAGATCATCGGGATCGCGCATTCAAGATCGTTCAGATCACCCAAATCGCAGATTGCATGCTCAGCTCATCGAGATCGCGTGTTCAACATCGTTGAGATCACCCGTTCAAATCGCCCAGATCGCTGATCGCACGCTTAGATCATCCTAATCTTCAGCTTCAAATCGCACACTTAGATCGTTGATCACACGCTTAGATCGTTGATCACACGCTTAGATCGCTGATCTTCAGCTTTAGATCGCGTGGCCAGATCACAGATCGCACGCTCAGATCATCGGGATCGCTTATTCAAGATCATTGAGATCACACATTCAGATTGCCCAGATCACAGATCGCATGCTCAGATCATCTGGATCGTGCCTTCAAGATCATTGAGATCACGTTTTCAGATAATTTTGATTGTGCTTCCGAGCGGCCAGATAGCTCTTTCGAGCACTGAGATCGCTGATCTCTTGTTCTCATATTAAGCTCCACGCTTTTTGATTGAACTCCTTCTACTCTCAGATCAAGCTCTACGCTTTCTGATCAAACTCATCATGTTCTCATATCAAGCTTTGCGCTTTCTGATCGAACTTCTTCTATTCTCAGATCAAGCTCCGTGCTTTCTGATCAAACTCCTTCTGTTCTCATATTGAGCTCTGCTCTATCTGGTCGAGCTCTTTATAACCTCAGATTGAGCTCTTTATGCTCTTTAATCGAGCTCCTTATGATCTTAAATCAAGCTTTTTATGCTCTCTGATCAAGCTCCTTATGATCTCATATCGAGCTTGTTATGCTCTTTGATCAAGCTCTTTATGCTGAGATTGAGCTCTTTATGCTCTCTGATCGAGCTCCTTATGATCTCATATGGAGCTCTTTATGCTCTCTAGTTAAAATCGTTATAACCTCATATTGAGCTCTTTATGCTCTCTAATCGAGTTCCTTATGATCTCTGTAACAACTGCTGGAAACTAGTACAATGCATGCATAATAACAATAGAAAATTGGGCCCAAAACTTTCTTTTCATTATAATTCATATTTCTTTTATACACAAAGAGTACTATTTACAAAAATTCGTTTTAAAAGACAAAACAGGGGAAACAGTGTAGCTATTTCTCTTCGCTTGCCGACGCCCCTCCGACTGCATCATCACCTAGATCCTACATACACAAAGGAAAAAAAAAGGGAAAAAAAAAAAATAATGCTCAGTAAGTAAAACCCTCTATCTGTCTGTCCCCGTATGTATAACTCTTATTTCTTTCCTTATACCATTTCTGATTCTATCTCTGTTTCTACTAAACATCATGGCCTCATCTTACCGGAGGTACGGCCGGATGGCGTTCACACAGTACCATCTCACTCTTCATGACTATCGGGTGGAATTCACACTGTACCAACCCGTTCTTAGTGACTACCGAGTGGGGATCACAAAGCTCCAACTCGATTTTTCCTAACTGTCGGGTGGAGATCACCTAGCACCTACCCGTTCCTCATGAATTTTGGGTAACGATCACCAAGCATTAACCCGTCTCTAGTCACTGTCGGGTGATGATCACAAAGCATCAACCCACTTCTAATAAATGTCGGATGATGATCACAAAGCATCAACCCCTTATCTAATAACTAACCGGGTGGTGGTCACAAAGCATCCACCCGTTTCTAATACTTATCGGGTGACGATCACAAAGCATCAACCCATCTCTAATGGCTATTCGGGTGGTGATCACAAAGCATCAACCCGATTCTAATAACTGTCGGGTGATGATCACAAAGCATCAACCCATTTCTACTACTCTTCTCATTCACTCTATTCTAGCACTTCTCATTCTCTCTACCCTTAGAGTAGTTGCATCCACAAAGTTCTCTACTCATAGAGCAAGTGCATACACAAAGTTTCCTACTCTTTCTTAGGTCACTTCTCAATGCACAATTAATGCCTATGGATGGTTCATCTCCACTAATGCACTTATGAAATGCCAACATGCAATGTTGCAAGAATTAAGGTTCACTACTCATACTCAAACCTCTATTAGGCATTTCATCAAACAACTCAAGTGCATCATAAAACTCTACTATAGCAATGATTCTAAATCTTTCTCTAACCATCCAAAATGGGGAGAAACCCCTTCACATAACCATAAAACCTGTCAAAGAAAGCACTTCCAAAAAGGGATCCACAACACCCCTTCAATTCCATCTCAAACTACCTTTCCAACCCAACAACTCATTTCTCATATTTGCAAAGAATAAACAATCACAAGGCATAGAAATCTCTATTTAAGCCTTCATACATGGCATATCACATGTATATCACATACATACATCATTTCTATCAAAACCCTAATCAAGAAAATTCATAAATCTCAACTTGGGTTGGGTTTTACTTACCTTGTTATGGAGAGACTTCACCAACTCTTCCTTTCACTTGTTTTGCTTGACTTTTTCTCTACTCTTAACCAAAATAACAAAAACCTTCAAACTTCAATATGAACTAAAACTCACAAATCACACAACTTAAGTAGGAATCCTTACCTTAGGAAGCTTTAGGTTGATTTTCCACCCCAAATCACTTCAAAAACCCTTTGGAACTCCTTGATCAAAAGAAAGAGAAATTGAGAGGAAGAAGAATGAAGAGTTGCGTTTTTGGAGAAGAAGAATGAGGGGTTTGCTAACTCTTAATTCCTTTTAATGAAATTTATACCAAAGCATTCCCATTTTGCCCTTACTCTTCTTTGGGAATTCCATCTATATCCTTTGATTCATTACAAACTCACCCCCATATCAACATATTCTCCATGAAAAATCCTTACAATTAACTCCCCACTTTTCCTGCTAATTAAGGGTAGAATGGTCAAATTGCCCTTAGGGAAGAAAAATATCTAAAACTTAACAAACAATTTAATCGGCCTGTCGCCGCGGCGAAACTGTCCAGTAGCTTCCCCGTGGCTTCTACACCTCTTCGCCGCGGCGAAGCTTGGCACACTGAATTTCTTCTATTTTCAACCAATTTCAGGGCAAACATTCAACACAACACTCAACCAAACAATATTACCAAAACCAACTCAAATAAGAGCGAAAGAAGAAACAGCAACTACGTACCTCAAGTGGGGCGTTACAATCTCAGATCGAGCTCGTTATGCTCTCAGATCGAGCTCTTTATGATCTCAGATCGAGCTCCTTATGATCTTAGATCGAGCTCGTTATGCTCTCTGATCGAGCTCATTATGCTCTCAGATCAAGCTTGTTATGCTCTTTGATCGAGCTCTTTATGTTCAAATCGAGCTCTTTATGCTCTCTGATCGAGCTCCTTATGATCTCAGATCGAGCTCGTTACGCTCTTTGATTGAGCTCCTTATGATCGTAGATTGAGCTCGTTATGCTTTCTAATCGAGCTCCTTATGATCTCAAATCGAGCTTTTTATGCTCTCTGATCGAGCTCCTTATGATCTTAGATGGAGCTCTTTATGCTCTCTGATCGAGCTCCTTATAACCTCAGATCGAGCTCGTTATGCTCTCTGATCGAGCTCATTATACTCTCTGATCGAGCTCGTTATGCTCTCTGATCAAGCTCTTTATACTCTCTGATCGAGCTCCTTATGGTCTCTGATTAAGCTCATAAACTCACTCGTTTACTTGAGATTGTGTGCATTAGATCGTTCAGATCGCATGCCTCAAACTCTCTATTCGAGCTCCTATCAAATCGCAATCAACTTCTAGCTCTCAGATCGCGATTTGAAAGCGATCAGCTCCTAGCTTTCAAATCGCGATCATCTTTTAGCTTTGATATTGCGAACAGCCTTAGGTTATGTTCTCAACTCTTAGATCGTAATCAATTCTCAGTTCTCAGATTGCAACCAGCTGCCAGCGTTAGAAAAAACGCATAGAAAACTCAAAACAGCCCTGAAACATGCTAAAACGGTGGATTTTGGCCCCGAAAATGGCCCCAATCAGGTTCCCCATTGCCATAACGTAGAGCTCGGAACAAGCTTTCTATGGATATCTTAAGGGCCCCAAAACTCCTCCCGGATCAAAAGTTATGGCTGTTTTAAGTTGGCTTATCCGTTTAAGGCCTCTAAGCTGTGCGTTTGGGCTTCTGACGTTAGCATTTTCTAGGAATTCATCTACTGGATATTTCATGTCAATTATCAGATTGTGCTTAGCTTCGGATCCCTCCAAGCTCTTAGATAGCAGTCCTAGCTCTCAACACTCGGTCGCGCCAGGCACAGTTCGAGCTCTTCAATTCGAGACTGCAGCCTATAGTGCAACAACTATTCAGATCAAAGACCTGAGTTTTTGAAGCGCGATTACGCACTCCAAAAACTGGGGGGTTTCTGTTATGCCTAAAAAGTCACTCTGATGTTAGCTCACAAAGTGCCTAAAAGACAAAGTATACTTCCTGTCAAGCCCATACCGCCTCAAAGATATCTTGTACCAACTCTATCTCATTTTAAGAGAAGAACGAATGAGAGCTTTTCATATGTCAAGGCAACTTGCAAAACACTCATTACATTGACCTCAAAGGTGTATAAATTGACACTTCTCTTCACGAAAAGGGGGTTGGGCATATGAGAGCTAGGCATAGATTTGAGCTTCATTATTTCTTTCTGTAAATAAAATATTTCTCCATCTTTGTATGCCTTACGGGCAATATCGTAGAAATAGCCAGAGAATATAAAATAACATTGGATATAGGATTTGCTTTAAGCATCCGAACCACTATAAAAACCTCTCTTGTCAACCTATTATTTATGTTTCTGCAACATATATAATCTCAGCACCATATTCAAATCTCATTGATCCATCACGTGTAATTTCTAAGACTCTCTTAGCACTTTGCACGTGCGAGTCGTTGGTGTCCAAAATCAAGCATCAACAATAACATATAACGTTCTGGTATTATTGTTGAGAGGTAATCAATATGGAAACTTGGAATGTAATAATCATAATATTTGTATCGTTTTTCACTTTCTTCACAGTTTTAGCTTGTCTTTGCTGTCGTTATTGTTGGGTAGGATTTGCTGGTGGTAGTTTCGGTGGCGGTCATCATCATCATCATCATCATGGTGCAGCTGCAGGCGTAGGCATAGGCTTTGGTGGCACCAATTTTAGTGGAGCTGGAGGAGGAGGGGGTTGTGGCGGCAGCGGCGCTGGTGGCGGAGGAGGAGGAGGAGGAGGAGGAGGAGCAAGTGCATGTTAATCACCTAATGTCAATTTATGTTGAATTATATATCTGTCTCTACATAATGTCTTCTTGTATTTTTTTTTTTTTTTTTTAAATCAACATTCCCAAGTATGGTAGAATTTTATTCTCTTTTTTTATTTTTCAAATTAAATTTATTCTTGTAATTGTTGAAGTTGTACTTCTTGTTGTTTTAATTCCTTATTCATATTATTTGAAAATGAATCATAGTAGGAGTTGAGAGAAATTTTGAAACTTGTACGTTTACTTTTGTTGTTTCAATGGAAATTTCTTAGCAAAACACTAATTAAAATATATAAAGACAATTTGTTGGGGTACCCCTTAGGTTCAATCCTTAATGATCCTACTTGATTGCACACTACAATTTCGTCTCGGACAGTTGGCTTAAATTTTAGTCCCATAAAATTTTTCTTTATTGTATTTTGGTCCTTATTAACAATGTTTTAATAACCAACCTGGGGTGAAACCTAGCAAAGTGGTCGGGTCTCACGTTGATCAGTTTCACTGGTGGGTCAAACTGGTGTCCAAAAATTTAAAATCCAACAAAAATACCCCAAAAAATACATGTAATTCCCTACAGGTTTGAAATCTTGCAAAAACACCCCAAATACCACCATCGACGTCGACAAACCAGGGCAAACAAGGCCTTTTTTTCCAGCAATGAAAACACTCTCCATCACCACGAAAACACTCCCCCCAGCCTTCTGACCAAAACCCATCTCACCTTTCCCCCGATTGCCTTGTCAATCATTGGTAACAACCCGTTGTTGCCATCGATTTTGTTTTGCAATTTTCGATCGATTCACTCACTGGAAATCGTCTCCCTCGCCACCATTGCACTCACCGGCCCTTCCTCTTCAAAACCACCAGCATCCCAGCCTTCAATTATTCACCGATCATCGTTCTAATTTCTAGAGTTTTTGGTGAATAGGAAAATTAGTAACCTGGCCCGGTGAATCGGTTCGACCGACTAGGCAGGGCCAGGTTTTAAAACACTGCTTATCAAACGTCAGTAAGACAATAACATTTTTGTCCATGTTATTAGCAAACTTTAAGAGCTAAAATGTTATTAATAGGGACCAAAATATTATTGAAAAGATCTACTAGACTAAAGTGTGCTTAAAGCAAACCTGAAGGATAATATTTTTAATTAACCCTTCTTTATATTCTCCTAATAGACAACATGACGATAAATATTGCATATTATTGTTATAGTCTTATTATTTTAATCTTTAAATATATTTATAAACGATAAGATGAAAAAGGAATGTTTGAAAGTAGAAGATAGTTAATTAGAAACTTAACGAATGAGAAGATAGTGGAATGCTAATAGCGTCAATTGGTTAACGACCCGTTTGTCTTCTCTTAACCAACCTAACAGCCCTGCAGACCTCTGGCACCCAATGCCGCCAAGAAGAAAAGAATTGTTAGTATAGCGAAATTAGTTACAGGCTACAGCTATGAGGAGCGAAAAATTCCGGAGAATTGTGTTCTTGTAGTTAGTTGTTCGTAGAAACAATTATCCATAGTGTGTATACATATATATCAAGCTTTTGATTAGAGAAATAAAGTGTACATTGTGTTCTGAGAATTCTTGCTTCTTCAATTTAGTTCTTTGTATACCAGAGGTGAAGAAGTGTTAAATTTTGCAATTTTTAAAGTTCTTAGTTAACTATAGAAGGAGTTTGAGATATAAAAAAGTTATTGGACCATTAAACGTAGTGAGATTATAGAAAATCGAACCTAATTGGCATGCTATAACCATAGCTTGGTCTAGTATGTTCATTGTATTTTTATTAGTGAGTTGCTTCCGAAGCTATAGTAGTAATCAGGTATGGCATGGTGATGAAGATGGCCAAGGTGGTGATCATGGCATCACCACCATGGCCGAGGTGTAGCCATACACATAGATGGTGGCGCTCATGGAGGTCTTAAAATTAAATCTTTCAATGGTGGTGTTTGACCGTATAATGCGATGCTTTTTTTAGCTGGTTGGAAGCAGAAAGAATCATCATTAACCATGAACCATAAGACAGAAAAAATTGTACAAAACATATAGGATAGATTAACTACCTCTGGGTGGTTAATAGAGACTCTTGGATGAATTACTTAAAAGATCATAAGTTCAAATCCCTCTTCGGTTGCTAATAGAAGTAGTCACTGGAGCTCTTATCAGTTGATAGTTCCAGGAGATTAGTAACCACATGCCATTAATACGTGAATGTCGATCTGTTGTTACTTGCATGTTATTGGCTTGTCTTGAGGAGTCTTGACTAAAGATTCAATTGATGTTATTATATGTGTGTTATCTGTATCTGTTTATTAATTCTTCTTACCATAGTCTTTTTTTTTTTTTTAATTCTAATCATACAATTTTCCTTTTCGTACCTAAAAGAAAATTACACAACCTACTCTAATCTTGGTTTAAAAAAATAAAATAATATACTAAAATACCAAACATTAAGCAACTTATAGTAACCATATCTATTAGCGAAATCTTTAACATTTCAATTTTGGATAAGATTGTCCTTTAACCATTTATTTTTTATTCCAAACCTAAAATTCCTCCCCTTAAATCAAAATTTCTAAATCAATATCATTATCAAATCACTTTTTATTAATATCCAGAAGTAATTCTTTAACCTAATGGTTCTGTAGTTTAGCTCATGAACGGATTGAGTTTTCCTAATGAAAGTTTTCTCTTATCTCCATAATAAAGGGTATTTTGGTGATTATACTATTTAATGATTTTATTGACACATGGGGAATGATTTCTGCCAATTAAAATAAAAAAGGCAGGCCCATAGAGTCGAAGAAGCAATTTGAATTCTAAGTAACAGTGGCGCCGGACTAGTCAGCTTCGCTCGCCATAACGCGGTAACCTTCGTTTTGAACGATTAAAAATAATCATCCTCCTGTTTATTTCCGTATTTTGAAACTTATTCAACATGCAGAACTTTTCAAAGTTCTTGGATGACTATAAAAGGAGTAATAGGTTGAAGAACTTATTGGATTATCCATCAATAAAAGAAAATGGAAAGTTGGCAAGCTGCAATTATAGCCTTTTCTGCTATGTTCTTTATTGTTTTAGTTTTGTTTAGTCTCCAAAGATTTACTCATCAGGGAGGTTATGGTGGTAAATATAACGGAGATGGCGGAGGTGGAGGCGCCGAAGATGTAGCCATAGACATAAACGATGGTGGAGATGGTGGAGATGGAGGAGGTGGGGGCGGTGGAGAAGGCGGTTTTGATGGGGGTGGAGACAGCGGTTGTGATGGTGGTGGTGGAGGTTTTGATGGGGGTGGCGGCGGTTTTGGTGGTGGCGGTGGCGGCGGCTGTGATGGTGGTGGCGGTGGTGGAGGAGGAGGAGGAGGCGGTGGCGTCAATATTTGAGCAATACATATGGTGGTTTTCTTGTTTAGGTTGATACATAGAAGATTATGAGGCTATTTGCCTATTTGTATATTTAGGTTATTTCAAATACGATAGATACTTGCTGTATACATTAATTTTCTCGTATGATGTATAGATATTCGTTCATTCATTTAATATTTTTTAAAAGAGCTGTACGGATCTTATCATTAATAAGAATTATTTGTGGCATTTAAGAATATTAAATATTGTTGGTTCTCCTCTCCCTTCTGGCATACTGCTTGATAATTAATGATTTAATTGATATCCTTGAACTTTATCTGGATTGACGAACATTTGAAATGAAAACAAATAATTAAATAGCAAAGTAAAAGTTCCACTTTGACTTGGGCTAAAGTCAGATAGAATCAGATAATCGGCTCCTTCAAGATTAGTTCATCTTCAACGTTAAAAGATGAACCAAGTCAACAAACCATCCACGTCGCTAATATTACAGACGACCAAGACTGTCTCTCATGCTTTCCTTAAGAACCAGAAAATATATAAATTTTAAGCATTATATGAAATTATTTCTAAACAGACGTACGTATCCTTCTTATTCTGATCATACACAAATTCTTTTCATAGTTAAATTAGATATATTTCACTAATTTTATCTTCTCTTGCCAAGTTCCAGAAACATTTTAATTTTAACGCCACATTCTTTTTTTTTTATATGTTCTATATTATATAATCAATTGTTCCAGATATGTTCCATTTTCAGGTCATCTCCCAAAGAAATCTGCAGCATTTTTTTAAACAATGCATTTGCATGTCTCTGACTGGTTTAAAGTGTGTAGCTTGAATTGGCACTAGTTTGTCAATAGCGTTGTTATGCCTGGAAAAGTAGGGCTGACGTAAGGCCCAATCAACGTAATTGGTCAAGGTCTGGGCAGATCCTACAGTCATTCAGGCGCGGCCACGTCGCATGCTGGCGTGAGCAACATGCTCCTGTCAGTGCAGCGGGTGCGCGCCAGACTGATGAAAAGCTGGAGGTCGTCCACGTGTCCAATCCCTGTACAAAGCGAGGAAATCACGCAAGTAGGTGAATAATGGGACGTAAAGGAAGATTTGCACGGAACCTGACCCCTTTTTACGGATTCAGTAATGATTACCTCAATGTGTCTCACTATAAATAGAAAGTTTCTCTCCCGTTTGTGGGATTAGCTCATTTTACTCTTGATTAGCTATATTTTCTCTGTAATCTCTCTCTCTCTCTCTCTCTCTCTCTCTCTCTCTCTCTCTCATTTGTATTCTTATCAACTCGCTAAGCCGCGACCTGATCCTTTAATTATAAATATAATATCAGTGAACGTAAGATTTGCTTGGTCAAGCATCTGAACTACTTTAAATATCGTCTTGCCATTATTTACATTCTCAATCCCACATTCACGTGTGTCCTCTGGGCCAGCTCAGCATTTCACACGTATAGTTAGTTGGTGTCAAAATCACGCATCAACAAGCGTCATTAACATTATGATATGGAAAGGGGTCTTGCAGGGGAATCTCTCATACATTGCCATTAAGTCTTCCTCTACAAATTTTCATTATAGAATTTATTTGAATACTAAAGTCAATTAGCAAGCAGTGGCTATAAGAATGCCAGAGAATTTCTGACTTCAGTATGCTTTGGAGGAAATGAAATTATATGCTATATTGCTCATTAGTTTTGTGTCGACTTTCGCTGCAATCTTGTTTCTAATTTGCATTTGCAAGGTATGTGAAAAGAAGAACCAAGAGAAAGGGTCGACGGCCACACAAGGCAATGACACTAGAAACGGTGGCATGGTTGTAACGACTTCTGGGGGTGGTCCAACTTCAGATGTTGAAACTGGCGGTAAAAGTGGTGGTTGTGGTGGATGTTGTTTTTTGGTTGGAGGCGCAGATGGTTGTGGCGGTGGTTGTGGTGGTGGTGGTGGTGGTTGCGGTGGTGGTTGTGGTGGTGGGGGCAGCTGATCAAACTGTGTGCTCTATTATTTTCCTAAAACGTGTTTTCACTTTCCAGATTGGTTTCCCAATGTAAGTAGAGAAAGCATTGAATGTTAAATATTAGAAACTTTCTTGTTAAATGTTATATATAAGCATATATTCAGGATGCAAATCCGTATGAAGGATTTTATTATCTGAAATCAGGTCATTTTTCACTTTTCAGTCTAATTTTCGAGGAAATTAAAAGCTTAAATTAAATTTAACCAGAGTCAAAGAACAAAAAATTAAGGCTAATTTTTTTTTTCCTTTAGAGGAGTCGGAAAGAAATACCCCCTTTTTTCGCCTGATTAATTGGTTTGGTTTGTTCTGAGTTTGTGTGCTCTGGTGGTTACGCTTGTGCTCGTTTTTCTATTCTGTTTGGTTTGAGCATAAGTTGCATAAATTTAGTGATTTCATGTTTGTTTTTATAGCCTTCTAGTTAATTTCTCAATTGTTTTCCGTGTTTTGATGTTAGTTTTTGTTAAGTTTGAAATATGAATGGTCAGCTATTTATTTGAAGAATTTTTGTAATTTTCAGGCATTAATTGAATAGATTGGAGTATTGGAATGAAATTAGAATTCAAAGCTTGAAGAAATTGAGATTAGTTGACAAGTTTGAAGGCCATGGCCTTGCCTTGGTGGTTCACCATGGTCGTGGCCGTGGAATGAAGATAAAATAATGAGGACAGGAAACATCATGGCCTAGGCTGTGGTGACGTACATTTGGACACGGCTATGGCTGTGTCGAACACTTTTAGGGTTTTTTTTTTTTTTTAGTTTTTCTTTCATTTTTCACTTAGGACTCTTTTGGGTATTTAAGGGTGATTAAGATTACTTCTTAGGGAGGCCGAATTTACTTATTCTTGGAGAGAGATTATTGTGTAACAAAAGAGAAAGGAGAATCAAGAACAAAATTCACCACAGAGTTTGTTTTTACTTTTTCAATATGATTTATTTCTTGGATTCTACTCTTGTTCTTTTATTATGAACTAATTTTCTTAGGCTAAGACTAGGGTTAGTCTATTCATGGATCTGTGATCAATCTTTTACTCTTTGGTCAGTGAATGATTTTTCTAATGATGAGTTTATATTATGTGCTTAATGCTATTAGGAATCTGATCAATTTTTGATATAATTGTTTTGTGTGATTGAGACCGAGAGAAGATATCACATGAGTGCTCTAGTAATATAGGTCATGGATTAATTGGATATAGAGATATATGAATTGATACATGCAATAATCATAGGTAAGATTAACTTGTGCTGAAAGCTAGAGGATTTTATAAAGTTTAATACTCGTCTATTTCATTAAATCTATATAGAAATATCTAGGTTGTGAGATAGAAGTAGAATTAATATTGCTTGAGAAAGAATATCGATTAACCTAGGAAATCTCGTTGTCACATTAATTAAATAAATTCATTGACCATAGTAAATTGAGGGGTTCAGAGAAGTTATAAATGAGCTTGAAGTCTTAGCCGTTTTTTCTCATTGAATTCTTAATTTTAGTTTTACTGCAATTCATTTATAACATTTCAGCATTTAATATTTTCAGTTTTAAAGATCACCATTCTAAGTTTTGATTATCTAGATAAAGTTAAGACTAATTAATATTTCAGTACTTGTTTACACAATCCCTTGAGTACGATAACCTGTATTTTGTTATACTATATTACTTGAGATTAGTGCACTTGCTAGTAGTTGTTACAAACGACACAACAAGTTTTTCTATTCTATTTGGTTTGAGCCTACGAGCTCCATTAGGGTGCCTGAGCCCATCTCCCTCCTTTGTTTGGAGCATGCGTGCTCCCTTTTAGACGTTGTTCCCATCCTTTTGTCTAAAAAGATAGGTATACTTGTTTTGTTCTTCTCTAGATCTCTTTTAGGGGTATGTCTCTAGTTCTCTGTTTAATTTTTCTTCTTTTATGAAATTTACCTTTTTCCAAAAAAAATATAAACAAATAAATAAAAATTTGTTGCCTTTCAGGTAATCAAGGGAAATCAAAATTCATCGATAATTTCCCAAAATATAAACGTTTCAAGATAAAGAAGCATCAACAAAGAAAATCTAGCAATTTGTACACATGTATCACCAGTCCAGATTATAAATTAGCCAGTAAACAACCAGCCCTTTGTTTGTCAAATATAATTTACAGCTAAATTTTGCTTAATAAGACTCCCCTTTCTCAATACTCAATAATGTTTGAATTCCTGAAGTGGGCATGATTCAATTTGTTCAAGCTAAAGATTTATGTTAAGCCTGTATTTGATTAAAGAAACTGAGATGTAATGCAAGAAACCATTCGTAAAATGAAATGAGAAACCATGAAAGTTAAATGTAAACTGCATAAATATCCTCCTCAAGTGTAACTGGATCTACTACAACAACTCGTGAACCCTCTGGAAACTTTTTAGGCAACCTACAAAAGATAAAATGTGATATCCAAGGGCAAGCATTAGACAGGACACCAAAATAGAAGTTCATTCCAAAGATAAACAAAAGCATACAGAGAAAATATAATAACAAGATATTGAAGTCCAAACATGAAAATTGCAATGATAGGAAAGAAAAAAAAAATCTTATTGATCTTTGTTTAGGAATAACAGAGAGTAAAATCCATTTTAAATGAAACGCTGAAACAAATAGTACTCATTTCTGATATGGTAAATTCTTACTTATTCAGATATATTGTTAGCTGAAGTATCTCTTCATCTCTGATTATCCCTTAATTTTCAACACAGAAAATGAAATCAATAGCTGATAAGGCTGAATCGTATAAAAGAATGTGAAAGACATAAATCAAATCTTGTAAAAAAAAAATATAACAAATAAGTAGTTGCAAGAGCCAGGTGCCTAGTTAGTAAATACGGGTACGGTAAAAAAACGGTACGGGAATTTTACGGGTATAATACGGCAAATGGTAAAAAATACGTTTATAAAAATTCGGCCATAAAATTTGGGTACGAAAAAAATACGATACGGGTTTAATACGGTACATTGTCAATAATATGTT